ATTCTCTTGTCAGTTATAAGTTAGTTATGAATCCTTTAAGGGAAGAAGGGAGCGAATCCAACTGGTGTTTTTTTTGGACCTACCCAGATTAGGAGTGTCACAATTTAGGTACTCTATAATACATGTAAAACAATAGTGGATGACTGATTTTTCCTTTCTTGTATTGTATGGATGACTTAGTTATGTGATGCTTTGCTGTGACAATACTTTGCTTCACTGAGGAAGGAGGATATGTGCCCTACACAATGTCTTGAAACAGTCTGAACCACCAACACTTGAGTTTAATGAAAATTTCCAGTTGTACAAAACACGATATTTCTTCATGAATGTTCCTCAGGAAGGTTTTTATATTCACAGCAGCTACTGCAGAGGGAAGCATGCATTGGGGTAACCAAAGCGTGTTTGTCTAAATTGTAATTAGGAATATAAGTTTCAGTTTACTCCAATTGACTGATTGAAGAATTGGGGTAGAATATAAAATCATCTGATTGTTAGTTAGGAACCAAATACAGTATAATTAGATTTAAAAAGGCTCTGACCCTGATTTGCAAGCAAAATACAGAAAGGAGAGTCATTAAGTTTTCATGGAAGGTGACGCATGCTTATGCCATGTGATATTCCTTGAAGTGATTCCAAGAAAACAATGTTCTCAAAGTAATAACCACTGATTTACTGATTACCAATATTCTTTTAAGGTTGTTAATGAAAATTTATAGACCCACTTCAAACTTTTGTCATTAGGAAGCTCAGTTATAGGATTTAACCTTAAGTGGGATGAAAGAAAAAGTTACTCGTTACTGACACAAATAACTTCACTCTGAAAGATCTTACTTAGTTTCCCCGTTTTAGTTAGGCCCCCCTTAGTTTAACAACGGACATTGTTTCTTACATTGTTAAAGAGATATTTCCCCTTCTGTGGCACTGTGGTTGAGTTTACATTTTTCTCTAAGGGAGACTGATATCAAAGATTCATATATATCAAATGGTGTTCCAGATAAGATGAGAGATTTATTCACAATTCTCAGCTTATTATACATGTATACAAGCTTACATAGTACTATCATTAACTGAACTGGTTCCTGATCAACAACAAAATGCCAAACAAAACTATTAAGTCTGAGGTCTGAATATAAGGCACAAATACCTCACTTTTATTGTGCATGATTTTGGTGCTTGTTGAGCTGAGCTAAGCAGAAAATTGATTGCATATTTACTGCTCACATTATCCACAGCCGAACCTTACAATACTGCTTGCAAAATGAACATATCAGCAATAATATAAAATAGATATCATACTGATTCGAATATCTGAATACGGTGATTACAGAAGTCTGTGACAACTATCTTTCCATCACTTAAGACTGCTAAGGAGACTGGTTTATTAAATTGCCCTGGGCCAGTGCCCTCTGTTCCAAATTTGGACACAAAATTTCCATCTAAATCAAATACCTGAATTCTGTGATTCATATTATCACAGACCATCAGGTTTCTTGCCTTATTCACTGCTAAGCAATGGGGTTGATTGAAATAACCCTCGCCTTCTCCCTTTTTTCCAAATTTATATTGATAAATGCCATCACTGTCAAACACATTGACGCAATGTTTGTCACGGTCTGACACATAATATTTGCCATCATACCTAACACAGTGAAAAGGATAGCTAAAAGAACCCCTCTCACCAATTTTACGCAGGAAATGGCCATTGTTAGAAAATATCTTAACTAGTTTGTTTGTGTTATCAGTGACGATGATATTGTCATCATCTGAAGATAAACCAAGCGGATTTTTAAGCTGGCGTAATAGATTTCCTTTCTCACCAAACTGGCTCAGGTACTCACCCTGCTCACTGAACAACTGAACACGATGGTTACCATTGTCTGCAACTACAATGTTTCTGTTCTTATCAAATATTATGCCTGCGGGATAATCAAATTCTCCCTGTTTGGCACCCTTCGCGCCAAAAGATCTTAAGTGTGTGCCATCGCTGGTGAATATCTGAACCCGATCGGTCCCATGGGGTCGACGATCGGTGATTGCTATTTCATCGCGTTCGTTAACTGCTACACCCCACGGGAAGTTAATCATTCCGTCAGAAGAACCTTCTTCTCCGAAAGATAAAACTGGTTCAAAATGGCCGGGATTTAAGTGAGCAGCGAATAGACGGTGAGGAAGAGGTTCTCTATTTACAGCTGCCAACCCTTCACTGGTCTTTGCAACAAAATCGCTGATTTTAAAGCGAACGTCGTTGGGATCTTGAGCCACGGGAACCTTCGTCGCACCATCATTACCTTGGCAAGTGCCAGAATCATCTTGCTCTTTATCGCGTTGCTGTTGGGATTGCTCGTACTCGACGTGACTTGTTCTGAGTGCATTTGGAGTTTCAACAGAGCCGGAGACTGATGCTGTTTGTTTACTTTCAAGGGAACCGATTTCTTCATCGTTCACATTGTTGAATAGGTTTTGATTTCCTTTGAAATTTATCTCGCAAAATCGTACATTGCCAGGAGCAACGGAGTTGTCATGACGAAATTCCCTTTGCAGCAATTTCTCAAAAACACTGTATTGTTGTAATATGTCTGCGTTTGGGTTTCGTTTCAAAAGATTTTCAGTTTTGATAAGTGCTAAACGTTTTGTGTTCACTTGGCTTTCAATCTCGTTTTTATCATGCTCAAGCCTTTGAGTTGACAATGCCGCTTCCTTTTCTAAGTCGGCAATGATTTTCTGTTTCTTCTTTTCAAGGACAGCGATTGTGTCATCGACAAACTGCTCCACTCTTCTCTTTAATTCATGGAAATGAATGTCAATCCTATCACAATCCTCTTCAATTTTTGCTATGTCAGTCATATTATTCTCTATGCTTTCCCTGTAGGATTCAATTTCAGACATGACATTCGACTTTAGTTCGTTTGCAGTCTCCTCCAAATGTACTTTGGGATGGCCGTCATGTAGTGCTACTATGCAAGTTTGGCAAATGGCAACTTCGCATTTCTTGCAAAAGAACTTTAACTCTTCTGCTTTGTGGTCCTTTATTTGGCAAAAGGCAGGTCTCTTTAGAACATTCTCAAAATCATGTTCTTGAAAGTCGTGAAGAGCCATTACGCGATGTTCTTTGTTAGCCCGAATAATGTTATGCCCGGTGATACACGCGTTACACCAGAATGCGCAGCATTGAAAACAGTACAAACTTTGGGTGCTTGTTTTGTCGCAGTTTCCACATTTCACTCCTCTGCTATCGTGTTCTTTAATGGCCACGACATCTAGCAGGTTTACAAGGCGGAAGTTAGTGGGCAGCTCTTTAAGATCTCCACTGCTAGGAAGACTAATTTCTGTTTTGCACTCAGGATCGGGACATGTAAAGGTATCAGGGCGGCCACTTGATCGCAGAACCTGCTCTAAGCAATTCAGGCAAAAACTGTGTAAACATGGCAGCATTTTAGGTTCAGTATTAAGAGCCTGGCACTTTGAACAAGAAACTTCCTTGCGAAGATCCTGAAGGTTGTGTGTTAAAAGTTCAGTTTCCATGACTGTAGCAGCTAGACAATTGGCAATAGATCAGTTGTCAACTGGCCGCCAAAACATAACTGCAGCAGAGTCTGCATTAATTTTGAAAAAACGGTCAGTGTTTCTGCTCTTTTATCATGAAATATCTCATGCTTCACTGGATTTCTCGGAATTCGGAATTTGTCAATCACGACTGCTCTTGATCGTAAGCTACACAACTGTTTGAAAATTTTGTTAAAAGCCATCTTGCGATACTCTAAACTTGTTAACAAACAATTAAATGAAAAAAAGCATCTTCCGATCCCAGTTCAAATACGGAATTATCAATTGTTTTCTAGAGTTAAAACATGAGATGTTTTACAAGCTGTCAAAACATGTCTGAAGATTGAAACAGATAGGAAGGTCAGTATAGACATCCGGTCGCTTTCTCGGAATAGCTTTTTTACGCCTGAGTTGTTTGAAACTTTTGAGCTTCCTTCCTGAGTTTTTACCAGAAGGAAAGAAGGGATTTAGTCCTTCATCGCTTTCTTCAAATCATAAAAGCTAATAAACTAGTTCCATATTCGAATTCCTTTATCCCAGCTCCAATTCACAGTGTCGTCTTGAATGATTAGATACATAAAGACCTTATTCGTAGTCAGCTGTGGAATTCATTGTTTTAATTTAATTATTAACGCTGAGAGAGAGAGGGATGAATTTACAGGACTAGAAGCAAACCACCCACGCAAATAATGATAGAACAAATTAAAACCAGTTCTTTAATTTTATAACCGAGCCACGCTTCTTTGTCTGCTTTGCTTTTCCCGCCTTATAAGAAATGAGCAGAAAAAAAGCAGTTAGACAATAACGAACCAGGAGGCCATGGGCTTCTGAAATCACTTATTAGACGTTTTCGGGTGTAGTATCGCTGAGTATTTTTACGAGTTGTGCCGTATTTTGAAGAGCCCGAAGGTCGAGTCAAAACATAATTGCAGTCGGCTTCACACCAGAACCCTTGCGAACTGAATTCCCAGTTTTCTGGGAATTCCTAAGAAT